GCGCTTAGCATCCGCTTTCTTCCTTCCTTCAAGTTTATAGCCCCATAAATCTCCAACCAATCCATACGAAATGTCCTAATTGCGAATCTGCTATCCATTTGTAACCATTATTATTGGTTACTGTAAAACTGATACGCACTTCCTATATTATTGATATCGGGAGGATGTTGGTATCTAATGACATTTGCTATTTCTACTGTTATGTTGTTCATTCAAACTCAAAATATCTTTATTTCATAAGACGGTTTAAAATCGTATATAGACTCTAAAGTCATAGATCAACACACACAAAAGCAACAATCTGTGTTTTGTCAAATATTTATCAAAATAAATACAATAAAAGTTATGCCTATCGAAAATCTATGATATGCCTGTGCGGGTTTTCAACTGCCTATTTCCTAGGTGTTGAGCCTTAAGAGAAGAAACGGCAAACAAACTCACGGCTACTCTTTAAATTAACAGATAAATACAATAGCATCACTAAATATGACACAACATTGTAAAAAAAAGCGGCGGTAGCCTAGTGGTTATGGCATTGGACTTGCGACCCTGGTCGTGGGTTCGAATCCTGACCAGTGCACTACCGACGTCAACCCACTCCTAACACAAGCAATTTAGCTTAACTGGAGGGGTTATGGGGAATACTAGTAATTTTGGTTGCTAAAGGTTTACCTTTAAAAAAACCGATGTTTTAATGCTATTAATGATTTGAACACTTTATTAAGAATATAAAACACTTAGGAACATCATCATCTCCTATCTGCTTAATGGCATTGCCCAATCTTCTTTAGGGTTCCTACAATGTGTTTTACCCGACTGCGGCAAAATTAGAGTCATGATTTTCAGAGTGTATGCATGTATGTTTGAATATTTCTTTGGCACGCTTTCTAGTCTAAACAGCTTGACGGATTTTGGCGGTTGAAGTTTCATTAGATTCGTTTTAATTGTTAGTGTGACAATAAGTATATGAAAGTTTAAAAAACAGCCTTTTTGTAAATTTTAGGTAACTACATTTTCACGCAGTCGGGTCGGGTTTTTGTTGTAATGTGTTTTGACTGGTTTCTTCTGCCTGACGCCTGTGACCTTCTCGGAAATGAAATAATTGCGGACGGGATACAAGAAGAAGGTACAATAGAGAAGGGATCAGAAAGGGAGCAAGAGTAGTGTAAGTCTTAAAATAGGAAATGAGATTGAGAATACTGCATAGGGCAGAGGGCCACCACAGCAAGTCTCCATGTCCAGTCCGAGCTACGCTGTGATTGAAGATGTAAAATTTACGTAAAATCATGTTATTATCTTTATTTAAGACATTCAAAGGCAATTCGTATTCCGAGACTTCATTCAGAAAAATTACAGCTCAGTGATTGCCGGATGTACACAATTGCCTCGTACGACACATGTCATAAAACAAACCTCTGTTATGTAAATTATCTTTGAAAACACCACACTTAATTATATGTACAAAAGACAGGGTTAAACGAATATACGAGGGTTGACTCGTTCTTGTCCGTGATGAAGCATGACTCTTACAGCAACCGAGGCGTAGCTGCCGTGGCTGGTTCTACAGCAAGCATCCGATAGAACAGGAAGCTGAGGCTGCTGTAATTCCCTGACCCTGGAGTCACACACCAATGTGTCCGTTCAGGAACTAGAAAGGACATCCACTAGTCTTATTTCCAAGGAATATTCTGCCTGAAGTCTTACGTTATGGACAAGCACCACACTTGCTGATATATCCACGTCACTGCACTAATCCGTGTTGCAAAATTTCTTGTGTACATCCTAAAACGGTTGTTCCTTTCGGTTGTATGTTAGCGTAAATGTACAAAATAATATTCCATTTTGTTATCCAACTTTGAATATTTAATTCAGTTGCGAAGGTAATTCTGCGGGCTTGATGGCCCTGTGTGGATAGGCTTGGCTCACACACCTTAAAGCCAGGCCCACGAACGTTACGTTGTATAGATTTATGTCACAATGATTATCTTGCGGCAACAAAATGGCTATTATATAAATAATAAACAAATGGGCCATTGTTTGGCGGAACTTATGAAGATACATTTTGGGAGGAATAAAGTAAGGATTTATTATGTTATAAACATAACTGAACGTTCCTTAATAACTCGTTTACCGTTTACGCTGTTTTGGAATGCATTGCCAACTGAAATTAGGTATGCTCAAACCACAAATGTCTTCAAATAAAATGCAATACTTACGGTTGTAATTCACGATGCGATTTTTTATGGTATAAGGGTACGCACGAGCAGACGTGTCACCTAATAGTAAGTGGTTACCTCCGCCTTTGGACATCTGCAACTGAGTCACCAGGGCTTTGCTGCTTCCTCCCTCTACCCCATTGAAGTAGGAGAGGGGAGTGGTTTTTGGCGCCGGTTTCATAGTGAGGTTACCGGGGTCCAAAACCACCCCCCTCCCAATGGGTTTATTAACAGGAGTGGTGGCAGACGGTGAATGCCATAACTCCTGATACTAAATCGATCCAGAGGTTGTCTGGCAGAGATCGTTATCAACAGCGATAAAATAAGTCAATCAGTATTATATCTTATCTTATCTCTACTACAACTAATACCCATAAAGCTGGGTTATTCTTTTATTTTGATCTCTTTAACTATCGTTCAGATCTGGAGCCTTATTTTACTCTAGACAGAATATTCATAGACAAAAGTTAGAAATAGATTTGTAGATTTAAAACTTTATATACCCATAGTATGGGTTTAAGTTTTAAAAATGAACAAATAATAAAAATATTTCACAATCAAGGAAACCAATATACAATATACCAATTGTTACGTCATCATTCCATTCTACAATTGAATAGCCACAACAACAATTAGTTAATAAAGTTGCGAGTAACATGTCAATCACATCTTGATTGGAGTGCTGCGCGCGCGCATGTAATATTATACGCGAGAGGCGCGGTGGCTTTGACCCAGTCAGACCTTGGGCTTCCACCGTGACGGTTGCATCCTGCCCGAGCTAGTACGTGCTGTAGGTACCTAATTTATTAATCATAGTGTTTTTTTTTTTAATTTGTTCATTTACGGTGTGGGAATCGTGATTTTTAGCACGTCACGTCGTCTTAAATCGTAATTGTAGTCAAATGATTTCAAACCATTTTTTTTATGAAATAAAGAAATTTTGAGTTTAGCTTGTGATATGACGGTAAATCACGATATACAATTTTTTTTTATTAGAGGTTAGTGTCAAAGGATAATTGTGACTTTTTAAAAAATGAATGAAAAGACTACTTAACTAATTTAAAAACACATACATAAAGCTATTAGGGCCCAGTATAAATTTGCACCTGTCATAGTTCAAACATTTATACAAAAATAAATAAAAGCTTAGTACTACGTGGTGACGGATTAAGAATACAGAGTGTCACTACCCCTATTCATCCCGTCGGTGTTGCAAGCGCCGACTTTAGAGCAAAGAGAGGGAAAACTTGACACAAACCCTATACCAACCCGTCTGCCCAGCGTGGTATATTAGGCCAAAACCTGCTTTCTAAGCATTGTCCTATCCAGCAGTGGACTACTAAAGGCTGATGATGTTAATGAATGAAGTAAAACACTGGCGACTGGCAGACGATCCTTAGTATAATGTTATTATTAGGCATGGCACCCTTTTTTATTGTGTCCAGTTATCCAGTAGATTAGAGACGAAAGGGAAACGGTCAGGGTCGGACGTCCCCAATCATTAATCTGATCGGTAGCGTGACCATGCTGGTTGTCTAGACGGGCTGCTGATGACCGTATCGATAACCCACATATGGTTACTGCCTATATATTAAAGAGCTGCCTTTCGCTTGAGTTTTTCGGCAATAAAAGGTACACTTTATCCTCTTTTGTTCTCCAGACAACATTTATCAAAAGTTGCATGGTAAATAGTAAAGGCATAAAAACGTAACAAAAAAAGTCATTACCTTAGTTTTCTTATTTTCATTCTGTTACTTCTCTGATTTAATTGAGGTGTAAAAAACTCACTGAAAGGACCTCTTTGATTTAAGCTTTTGACAACTTATCTTAGTGGGAGAACACTTAGTAATATATTGTAAACATATCTACCATTTGACAGTCTTTTAACACAAATTCAAATATTCGATTCGACAATAACTAACAATATTTACGACAAAATTGCAACCATTTGCAGTCATAATTATTCTTTGTACAAGAAGTTGTTGACTTAAAGTAAGTGAACAGAAACAGCAGTTCATTATTCATCTTCATTGTATAAATCAACAGCCTTAATTTGTCCACTGCTGGACATAGGCCTCTCTTTATAAAGGAGGTTTTGGCATACTATACCGTGCTGGCCAAATGGGTTGGTATAGGGTTTGTTTCAAGTTTTCCTTCTCTTTGCAGTGCTGTTGTCCTGCGTAGATTATTCCCTTAGTCGGCTCTTACGACACTCACGATAGGAATAGGGGTGGTGACATTCCGTATTCTTAATCCGTCACCACACGGATAATTATATACAATATTGTATACAAAACACTATTGTATACAAAACAGACGTACTGATGATCAAGATTTGGACACCTTGATTCTTTGTGACCGCGAGACGAATCAGTTCTCGCCAATCTACCAACAGCCTTTCATGGCAATTGTCAACGAATTGCCTTGGGCTCCGCATTATCATGGCTCTTAATTTAAATGTTCCTTAGGTTTTGTGTTATTAAGACTAAGATTTTTCTACAGATTTTTAGTGTTCCCTAAACCTAACACGGGTTACTAATACTAGAAAGCTAAAATGTTATGGTACTTCTCCTACATGTGAAGTGGGGAGGATTATTTTGTTCAGTTATCGGGTTTCGTTAGATAGATCTTCAATATTCAGTGTAAATGAAAAGTATTTTTCGATCTTTAGATCCTCCCCTCCCCCCTCAGAATTATGACTTACATACATATAATATGCTATAAACAGTAGATATTTTATTAATAAAGCTTGAAGTTAATATCCAATCTTCTTCCACAGACATAATGAACGGCCACAGCAACGGAGACATGAACGGAGCTGGTGACATCATCACCCAGAACCAACAGCGCGGCTGGTGGACCATCGGGCTCATCAACTCGCGTTACCGCTACCTCACCGCCGAGACATTCGGCTTCAAGATCAACGCCAATGGCACCAGCCTTAAGAAGAAGCAGATCTGGACTCTGGAGCCTGCTTCAGGAAATGCTAACGACAGTAAGTTTAAAATTAGCAACTGAATTACCAAATTTGATAAACCACAACATACATACAATATCATCACGCCTTTATCTCCTAAGATGTAGACAGGAGGTCTCACACTTTACCAACACTTATTTGATTCTAATCATGAAATAGGGGAAAATCTTATTGGAAACTTTGTGAATTAAAGTTCTGAAAATAAATCCGTGTGGTGACGGATTAAGAATACAGAGTGTCATCACCCGTATTCATCCCGTGGGTGTCGTAAGAGCCGACTAAGGGAGCAAAGTACGCAGAACAACAGCACTGCAAAGAGAAGGAAAACTTGAAACAAAGCCGTTTGGCCAGCGGAGTATAGTAGGCAAACACCTCCTTTCATGTCCAGCAGTGGACTGCTAAAGGCTGTTAATGAAAACTAACAGAACATCCATAGTCAAGAAGAGAATATTTCATATACGGATGTATTTAGGCAAGTAAGCAAAGCTCGAATAGGTTAGAATACCTGTAATTTGATCTGACTATTGCCGGGAACTGACTATTACCTGACTATACTGACGGAATAAGAATACGGAGTGTCACCACTCCTATTCATAATAATATGTTATTAGTTATGCGCCATGTTATTTAGGAAAATATTAGGATCAACGTGCACTTATTACTTGATCACCAAAGAGATAAAACGTTGGTTTCCAAGAAACGATGAAAAATTGATGGCTAAATCCATCTCCAATCCATCTCTCCAGATTAGAGAACTCAGAATGTATGGTTACTTATAATTCGATAGCCGGGGAACCAGGTATACCCTAGAAAGGAAGTCCCTGGTGCCCCGACATACCTCGGGCCATCTACAGACGAGTAGACGACCCCAGGTTTCCAACCACCTAATGCATCTATATAAAGCAAATCCTGTTGAAAAAGTCAGAGGTCGTGGGTTCGATTCCCACCCAGGACAAATAATTGTGTGATGAGCACGTTCATTTGTTCTGTGTCTGAGTGTATTTTTTTAAAATATAATTTTGTTTATTTAAATATATAAGTATGTTTATCAGCAGTCTGGCTACCATATCACAGGCTGTGCTTAGTTTGAGATCAGACGGCCGTGTACAAGATGTGTGAGATTATTATTATTTACACTGCCAATTTTCCTATCTAATTCCTTTATTTCTACACGCTTGTGGCCTATTTCGTAAGCGTAACACCAATTAATACCCTCTGTCTATTCCTTTACGGATGTTAGCGTGAGTATACATGTATGTTGGATAATTTTAGACAAATAAGTAAACAATATACTGTGTAGTTGAACTTTAAACAGGTGAGATCAATCTCTTTACGAGTAAAATCATGTCTTCGTTTGTGTAAAGTTAAGGTTATAGATAGACTTAGTGACGATGGACATAAGAGAAGATTACTGGCATTTGCTCTCCATCATTAGATCTATATATGGATGGATAGCCGTCAGCACGGAGACTTACACAGTTGAATACTGGTATATTGGCATTTTAAAAGGCAATCATGTTTATATTGGAACTAAGTTCCTTATCGCGCGTTGTGAAAGGGGGCTAGACGGAAAAAAATCTCACGAAAAGTTGTAACGACACTTTTTATTTTGAATTGTCACTTGTCAGTCATTCAGCGCCATCTATCGAATAGATAGGAAATCATTACTTTTCATCTCAGTAGAATTAAAATTTATGTTCTTAGGTTGAGCAAAAAATATTGTATTCGACATCATTTCTCAAGGAGATTTTACCAATGTATAAATTGTTTTAATTAGAAACCAACTGAAAAATATGTAGGTAATAGCCGCTTTCATAGATGGCGTTGTAATTAAAATCGTGTCGAATCAGTTTTACTCGATCGCCACAACTTCGTCCCTATCGGGTGTCCCACGACACCACACGGCTTTTTATAATTTTTTTTGTTTATTACTTTGTCAAAAGTGAGGTAAATTTGAACGGTATTTCTTTCTGCCAAATGTTTTTGAAGAAAATAAGTAGATTTCGTTGGCTTTAAATTAGCTGCATATGCAATTAATTAACGTGATTAGATTTACTGTTACTTTAATTTGTAAAAAGTTATTTCTTCTCAATGTTTCAAAGGATTGTTGTTTTTAAATTTGTGAGCTTTTATATAGTCTATACAAAAATTGACTGTTTTTTTTCCATAAATAAAGGAGCTTTGTTTTTAACAATATTTTGAATGATTTCAACCTGTCTGCTTCTTTAATTTACGGTCGGTGATCTATATATGATGATTGTTTTGTAACGATTGGTCCTCAAGTATATGTAACCTATTGGGAACGATAAGTGTACGTTAACCTTTATAGTATGAATTGTTATAACGTTCACAATTAACAATAAAATGTAATGTAATGTAATTAACATTAAATTCGTTTGGGGTCGAAACGCTAGGGTCATGGGGTCCAAGTGCTCGTACTATATACAAAACAGCTAGCTAAACTACTGATTGACACTTCTCGGGATCAGAAGGCTGGTCTTTTTCTAGCACAGAGAATTAGCATTGCCATTCAACGTGGCAATGCTGCCAGTCTTCTGGGAACGTTACCAGTAGGCGATGATGCGGAGGAATTTTTTGATGCTTTTATATAAATAAATACAGTAAACGTTGTAAATATTCTAACTTAATTTTGATTAATTTTCACTTTGTTGCACTTTTAAATTCACTTTAAAATCAATACTAATAATATGACCCCCAAAATGTTCTGAGTCTGGGTGTTCTTTGTGTCCGTTTCGTAAATGTTTGTAAAGTTCCCCGCATCACAGGGTATATTCCCAGTGCGGGAGTTGTCTTTTATTTAAACACAACTCCCGCCCTAGGAGATCCTAATCCATAAGATCCTCCCATCTAATCGTGGGATATTTTGTGTGCCGACTAAGGTATTATGCCAATTTGCAATATTGTAAAGACAATTCTGATTCGTATCGTGATACGCTTGTAAATGCGGTGATTGCCTGACCAAACTGACTGAAGGTAGCTATTGTTTTAACGACCATGTACTTGAGCTTTGGAATTTTGATTAAACGTTCCATGACCAAAAGGCAATGATCCGTATCAGGAGCATGGAAACCTGCCAAAGTATGTGCCTTAGGACATAAGCTATTACTTTTTTAAACCCGCACTATAAATGATTCTACTGTCGAGGAGTATACAAACATACCAATAATCACTGAGCTCTTAGGTCATGAATATGTCTAGATAGACTGTGAAAGCTTCGAAAAAAATAGTGTCCAACCGTTGGCCACTAAATTTTTTGCTGTCAATGTGTGCAGCAATGTTTTCGCTGTCACTATAACACTTGGTTTGTACGCACACAAGCATAATAAAGTTAGCACGTTTCTTTACGTTTTTTTTTTGTAGTACGAATCTCCACATAGACATATAAAAATACCAAGATGGCGCCATTGTAAAAACATTTAACAATTTGTGATTAAGTAAATTGCAATAAAAATAATACAATTTTTTTATCGAGGAAGTTCTGAATATCGATCAGGTGTAAGCCAGCTGTGAAACCTTGACAATGGGGTAGCCACCCTCTGATTGGATCCGAATTGTATATCAGCGGGGAGGGTCGGCCCACTACACATCGCCGACTTCGAGTACGAATTCATGTAATGAGCTTTTGATGTAGTACGTTGTGTTGTGTAAGTTATTATTCAACCATAGTGGTATAAAATTGTATTTGTTTGTCCGTGTAGATAAACGTTTTTATCTCAGAAACTATTAGTCCAATCGGTATTTTTTTAGATTAAAGTTACCCGTCGGATCATATATTTAAATGTATATCTACTACTCCAATTGGTACTTTTAACAAATTTATTTATGGTATGCCTTTTTTTTCCGTGCGGAAATCCCCTCGGATACCACCTATCGGTGGCATGTCGGACTCGAACCGGCTAAAACCGCACGCCGTCTCGGGTACTAATAGCCATTTCTTTTTTCCTTTGCGCATAGGCAATATCGTACACAATGAGGTTTATCCGAGGTGCGATTATTGCTAGTTGAAAATTTATGGTATGCCTAAAAATATTAAGTTTTTGATAAATCCTTACATATTTCAAATGCGAAAGTGGTGGTGGTCTCTAAACTAAACTAAAAATATCTAAAAAAAGTTTTTGTCCTGTCAAATATTACGTTTTCAGAATAGGAAACGTAGTTCGACAGAACTTGTTTTTTTTTAGTGATTTTTAGTTTAGTTTAGAGAGTTTTCGACCAACAGAATAAGCACCAGTAACTCTGTCTGTTACGCGTTCACGGCTAAACCGATTTCAATTAAATTTGACATGGAGATACTTTGATTCTTGAGGAAGGACATAGGCCGACATATACGCGAGAGAATGCTCTAATAGACCTATTAGAGAGCCCACTTTGATGTGGTCAATTGATGTCCATATCAAAGTGGCCTCTCTACTTAGAGAGCGGTTAACGCAACCCTGGCTTATTCCAAGCTACTGCAGTCTTCCTAGGCTACTGCTCGATGTAATTTTTTTTTCCTCCATCTTCCTTCCCTTTTTTTTACTAATCTAAACACGAAAACCTTCCCAAGCAGCCTCTGAGTTACAGAAGTATTTAAGTACTTTAATAATATATTTCTTTACACCAGCGAAAAACCTTTGCAATATCAAAACATTGTTTTAGTAAACTAAAAACTACACAGACCGCAAGCAAAATATGAAATTCATAGCATAGATTTTACCATCATAATATATCAAAGTGCTAAAACAAAACAACAAAGATTAAATTACTAATTTTAGATATATTTTATACCAATAAAACTAATTAACGTTTTTGTTTGAAAGATATTTATTAGATATATTTATTACATGTAAACGGACGGGTTTTATTAAGGTGTTTTTATTGCACAAAGATTTAATAAACGACAATATTGTGTTGTGACATTCCGGCACATATTATTAACTTAATTTATATTTTGCATATTAATTAGTGTAATAAATGTAATATATTTATCAAGTATGCAAACAATAAGGAACAACAAAATTGCAAACCCAATAAATATCTTTTATCAGGTTTGCAATACTCGTGATATCTAAAAGAGTGGATAATTTCGACCAACTTTTAATCAGGCGTGCAATAAATATAAAAAAATATCTCGAAGCCTGTTTATTCTACAACCCATAGTACAAGTTCTGTTTATTTTGGATCTAAATTTAACTACGTACAATATTAAAGTCAACAATATTTTGGCAGTCGCCCCTCGAATGCCGTAGCCCTACGCCCTCCAGTTTAATTAAGGGCGCGCGTGTGGGGAGCGTTTTTGCGACAATTAGTGAGTGAAGGGGACAACGCGACTAATATGTCAATTTAAACACATGTTTTTTTTTACATTTATTGTTGGTAAACATCTTGATATTTAGAAACGAAATACTTATTTGTCTTTTCTTACATGCGTTTGAAGATATTTGCAGTAAAATCAGGAGGAGAACTTTGATTGGAATGGTTTATACAGGTAACCAAGTACAGTTATGTTTGTGATAATTTAATTGTTATTAAAAAGGATTGATGATGAAAAGAGATTGAAAATGGGAGAACCATGTAACCGTGGGGGAACCATGCGTCGGTACACATGGGGCCGGCTCGACAGCAATGATAATACGGCCTCACAGAAAATCGGTGTGTAGTAGCAATTTTCCCGTTGTTTTTCACCGAGTGACTGAGATTAATCAAGCCCAACCCCCCCCCCCCACTCTGAGGGGGGAAGTTGGAGCATCGCACTTATAATTGCGAGCTTCTTAAGACACACGTCAATGATACCACTATTATTACGAATGTTATAAACCCTTTTAATCGCGCAACTTTCGCTGTTCCGTATACTTGTTTGCTGCCTTCAATGTCTAAAAAAATGTTTTGCTTGATAGGTATTACAACAACTTGTACAACTCGATCTTAAACCGTAATTAAAACCTCATAAATCAACTTTTATAAACATGAATCCTTAGAATAGCAAACATTATATATTTTTTTCTAAAACAGCATTTTATCTCTAAAAACAAAATCCTTAATTGGTTATTATTTATGAGTTTAGAACGATCCCAGTACATATGACTTCCTTCCGGCCAGTAATTGGCGTCATAGACTTTTAGATCGCGAGCCTAGACCATAGACGGACAGGAAGCTTTTTAAGGAGGCAAGGGCGTGCGTCATTACAGATAATAAATACTAGTAGCCATACAGCAATGTAGAATTAAACATTTGTTTGAGTGATTAACCTCTATAGTTATAGAGGCCTAAGGGTGGTAGATAATAAACCCAGGGGATGACTTATGTGGCCTGGGGGTGGTAGGTGAGGCCATCTGTCACCCTAGCAGAAGCAGGCCGGGGTGGCGCCCTTTCGGAAGCACAAAGGGGACATAGAGGTTCCCACACAGGAGGGGATCATTTACGCCCGTAGATGGCCCGAGGTACGTCGGGGTATCAGGGTCTTCCTTCCTAGGGTACAACTGGTTCCCCGGCAACTGGTACCCGAGACGGCGTGCGGTCGGTTCGAGTCCGACATAACCCCCCAAGGGTGGTATCCGAGTTATTCTAATTCGTTTCAGTTATTTCAAAGTTTTATTTCTACTTGTAGCTATTGTAAGAGTAATGAACCTCACATCACACAGACAGCCATCTGATCCAAAAGCAGAGCCAGTACTATGGTAACCAGACTGTTTATGAACATCCATATTAATGTTTTAAATGCGAAAGTGTGTCTGTCTGTCTGCCTGTCTGTTACCTCTTCACGCTTAAACCGCTTAACCAATTTAGATGACATTACCAGACCACTAGGATAGGGAAATCCACATATATATTATGTTACCATTAAATATTTGCACTATACTCTATGCCTAAAAACCCAGTTTAAATACTTTTTGTCTGTCTGTCTGTATGTTTGTTCCGGGTAATCTTCAAAACGGCTTCACTGATTTTGATAATATTTTACTACCATTTAGCTGTCGATATAAGGAGTAACTTAGGCTATTTTTTACATCAGAAAACCCCGGTGCCAAAGTCGCGGGTACCAGCTAGTATATTATAAAGTCTAAATGATATTATCTTCTACAGGCATGATCTACCTGAGGTCTCACCTCGACAAGTACCTGGCCGTGGACTCCTTCGGAAACGTCACATGCGAGTCTGAAGAGAAAGAGCCCGGCAGCAAGTTCCATATCAGGTTAGTTTTAATACTTTAATACAGTCCAGGTACTCACCCCCGGGCCTGATTAGGCATGGTGTCAATTTGGGGAGGAACTGAAATAACATGGTCGGGGTCCTCCCAGAGTCCGGCAGTCGGGTTGGCTTTTAGTGGAATCACCACATACTTCTGGCTCCTGAGTCCCCAAGGAGCTGGAGATCCATAGGGATTTTTCACATCGTCAACAAAAAAGTCCAAGTACTCCAAACAGTCCTTGTGATCTCCACCCAGTCAAGAAATTTATCTCTGTCGATTGCTTTCTATACTTAATGATATGCTAAAGTACATAGTTTAATATTTCAAATATTTTTAATATTTCACACACATCTCACACACGGCGGTCTGATCCCAAACCAGGCAGAGCCTGTACTGTGGTAACCAGACTGCTGATAAACATAATTATATATTTCTAAATACATACATAATATAGATAAAGTACACCCAGATTCTGTGTCTGATAAACACACTTATATATTTTTAAATAGAAACATATTATAGATAAATTACACCCAGACACAGAACAAAAAACCGTGCTCATCACACAATTATTTGTTCTGGGTGGGAATCGAACCCACGACCTCTGGCGTAGCAGTCAGGGTCACTAACCACTAGACCAACAGTTGAAGCGTCATAACTGGATTACCATCTATAACCCCATTCGTATCCCATTCCTCGACGCATAAAGGACCACTCTTGAGTCTAAATGCGGAAACCGAAGCCCACAACCAATACCAATACCCCTAATAATGTACTTTAAAACAAAGAAAGAAGAAAATACACAAAGAAATGTTAACGCCTTACGTCTGAATATTTTTGGGGGATAATTTGAATTAAACGCAAATTTCAAAAGACAAGATGAAAAAGACTGAAACGAAAATTAAATTTAGATACGTTATTAGCGTTTAAGAATATGAATATATCTTTGTAAACAGTCACGAGTGTTTACAAAACCCGGATTTAAAAAAAAGTTTGATGAATGAAAGACAAAGTTCACGGCTCGTTCAAAGAAACTATACAACACCGTCCCTTGCAGCATACTAATCCCTGAGTCACCGGAACTCAGTCGAACTCCTCGGCTTTCATATTTATGTTGCTTTTTTTCGCATCGCATACCGTCCGTGTTGTCGGCGACAGCAGACAATTTATGACCGATACAAGTTGGCGTCAAGTCTTCAATATTCTTAAGACATTTTGTGAATTGTAAATTGAGGAAATATCAACCATTTCACGTCTAAGACGCACAAATTCAGATTTGAATATTAGCATAATAAAAGCCCCGTATGACGTGTCGGAGCATATTAGAAAGAAACCAACGAAATGATATTACCGGTTGGGGTCAAGAGTCTTCCTCGAACTGCTATTTTCATCTATATGGCGTCACCCTACAAAGTCATTTAACAACCTCTCTCTCTCGTGTCGGTCTCTCATGTCTGAGCATCGTGGTCGGCATCAGAGTTACAGCTTGAGCGGATGAATGATCTCTCTCCGCTCTCGCCTCTCAAGACCATGTACAAATTGGGAGACGAAGACATTTGCTTGGCCCATCTTGTTGGTGGATGACCTCGTGACTTTTGCCTTAGCTGTTCCCAACCACAATAAGTTTTCGCAGTTTCTATCGCCTCCACCCACTGTGTGGCCGAAATATCAAAGTATTTACATCTAGTTTTTAGAATATTTGATTTGTTTTATTAATTTGGAATGTGCTGACAATTTATAAAACAATATATAAAAAGAATTGTGTAACAAGAAACCATTAGACGCCTTTTCAATGTTTTACAATAAGTTAAATACACCGAAGTGATATATTTTTTGAAATAAATCTTGGAAAATGTACTTCAGAACACATCGACATTTTAAGGGCCACTGGTACTTCTTTTAAACAAACCATTTATTGAACTGGTTTAGAAATATCGCAAGTACCGAATAATGTACATCTAAAATCGACCGTTAAGCTGTTAACCTATCAAGATCTTGATTTATAGACGGCACTGAGTATTGATTAGATACTACAAATACCCTCAGTCTGAGAGACACGACCCTGAGTCACGTTGCGAAGCTTTCCAAACACAAGGATGACACTGAGTCAGGCGTGACTCAGTCTCTTTTAAATAACTAATGGATTGTTTACCCGACAACCTTCTAAAACTTGTTACTTTCATCCTAAATTGTCCCTGGCTGGGGTTAAATGGAAAATAGATCCACTTGTCTATTCTATTCTTTTTGGGCACTTGCTAACTAGATATAATCTAATCTAAGATTTATTATTATTAGTCCGTGTGGTGACGGACTAAGAATACAAATTGTCACCACCCCAATTGTCAATTGTCCAGCAGTAGACTAGTATAGGCTGTTGATGATTGATGATGATGAAGATTTATTATCAATTTTAGCTGAAGTAAAAATATTTTTACATGGCTTCTTAATACTGCAGATTTCAAATAGTCTACCTATCAGGACGGTAGGATACTTTATTGTATTGAAATGCAAGTCCTACCTTTATTTCATTTCCAACTCTTCCAATTTACTTCTGAATATTTTCGTGGTGGGTTCCAAGTCATTTTAATTTTTCCGGCATTTCGCATTCCGGACTTGGCATGTTCGTGGTTCACTGCTGTTGATGCTGGTGTACAAGAGTTACAGTAGTGGGCGTATTTTTTTTCTTTATGTAAAAGGGGCTAGACGAGCAGACGGGTCACCTGGTGGAAAGTGACTACCGCCTCCCATGAACGCCTGCAACTTAGGAGGTTTTTTGAAGGTTTGAAGATCAAATCGGTCCGGAAATACCGCAGACGATAACTTGTTCCACAGATTGGTTGTGCGAGGCAAAAAGTGTCTTGAAAAGCGCACAGTGGCAGAGCGACAAGTATTCAGGTGATGGATGACAACTAGTCCGAACAATTCCTCGAAGCACTCTCCATGATATATACGATAGAGAATGCAGAGTGAAGCTACATCTCTACGTAACGCCAAGGGATCGAGCCGGTCGGAGAACTTTGGGCTATCGACGATTCGATTCGCTCTTCGTTGTGTGAGAGTGATTAGTAAAATAAAAAGTTCTATCTTTAGTAGGAAACCTGCCTTCTCAACAATAGATTAACAACTTCGGTAGAATACGCTAGACTCTAGTAGGTATTGAAAAGCAAGTAAGAATAAAAATATTGATTTGTGTATTTTTGTAGGTAGAATTGTGGATACATAGTTAATTAAAACCAGTTACAGTAAATTATAGGATTAGGAATACGGAATGTCACCACCCCTATTTATCCCGTAGGTGTCGTAAAAGCCGACTAAGGGAGCAAACTACGCAAGACATCAGCACTGCAAAGAGAAGTAAAACTTGACCAAACCCTATACCGACCCGTCTGGTCAGCGTATATAGTAGGCCAAAACCTTCTTTCTAAGGAGAGGCTTATGTCCAGCAGTGGACTATTAAAGGCTGTTGATGTGATGTGATGTGACAGTAAATGAAGTGAAAAGAGAGAAGCTGAAGATTCTATAGCCTTTAAAATCAAAGAAGTCTACCAGCAATAAAGAACAAGTCGTCTTAAAACACCTTAATCTTTTTTGCGATTAAATTCCTTAGTCTTTTGTAATAAGAGTAGTCCCTTTATTACACATTTGTCAATTTTGCAAGGAATTACTTTTCAAACAAAACAAACGAACCAAGAATATTTAACCATTCGTAAATAAGACCGCCCCGTTATCCTCTCGAAACGTAGGTAGGCAAAGTTATTGATCCTGTACTAAACAGACCTGAAAAGGGGAGTGTATGCAGGGGTTGTTCACACCAAACACGACAATATACCTTAAATTTATTCCATCATAGCTCAATTTAGTCTGCCGTTTTCAAGGTCAGGTTAACCTTCCCTCTTTAAAGGATATTGAACTTTATATTCAGAGGAATGAAGTATATATTTTTTGGTGTAATTTAAAGGGTAGTTAAAGGTTAAAATGGTGAGGAACACGTGCCGAAGTACCATCTTTATTGTTTTAGGGGCTCTCATAACTATTATTATGGAAATCATGCGTTGTTTTTGTTACGCTATGTGTTGCACGGGTTTTGTTGACTTAAACAAGGAGTTTTTAATTTATAGCTAAAGGTTTTGTAATGATATTTTAGAACGTCAATTTATACGATAGTTTTGCCCTTCAAATGAAGTACTTTTGTTTCCAAATTTAAAGGTTTTTGTCTAGTCACTTACGAGTATTTAATTAAAGTAGTTGTCTCCCAATGATGGGCAAAAAAACCATTTACATATTGTTGATGAGTATTTTGAAAATTAAAAAAATGTCCACCATTCGTGCCTTTGGAGAATATTACAAGAATTCCAAATGTGGACAAATAGATTTGGTCGTTATAAATCAATGCAATGTCCATCTGTGCGATATCATCCCTGAAGCTCTGCAACTATCAGTCAGATTTGATTGATTATTTCTGGATTGAGTAGAATATAAAACATCACGCGATGATACTTAAAGGCAAAGCACAGGTGAAACTGTGGGGAATTTTAGTAAGCAAATATTTCTAAAGAGGCCTCACTGAGAGAAAATTTACGTGAAACTCGTAAATATTTGACGCATAGAATTTTCTAAGCCAACATAACAAGACTGCAAGTCACGTCCAGCGACGAGCTCCGGCGAAACTACAATACGCCTCAGTGAATGCTTTTAAGATTTAAATTCAATACAAAACTTGAAATCGTCTATATTCGTATGTAAATGTGTCTTGATTGTTCGTTTACAGAGGAATATTGTAGTTTTGTTCGCTGTTAGTATCTAGGATTTCAACTGTGTTAGGTTTTATAACTAAAATTACGTTTGTGTTTTCTTATGTTTATGTTACAAAGCATTGCTTGTTCTCTTGACTAGAAAAACTGGCATAGTGCGTGGCGGGCCACGCGAAGTGTAGAATTTTGCAGTTTATAACTGACTTCTTTAACATACATACATATAGTTACGTCTTTATCCCACAATGGGTAGATAGAGGAGTATTAAAGGCCCATATTTACCGACACTAACTTTACGTCCCATTTACGTAGTAGGAAGCAAGCCCGCTGCTGCTATATTTCTGAAATTCTAAAATTTTCTCCGTATTTGAAACATTCTTCATTGGTGCTCCGCTCCTATTGATCTTAGCGTGATGATATATAGCCTATAGCCTTCCTCGATAAATGGGCTATCTAAAACTGAAAGAATTTTTCAAATCGGACCAGTAGTTCCTGAGATTAGCGCATTCAAACAAACAAACATACAAACAAACAAACTCTTCAGCTTTATAATATTAGTACAGATGTATAAATTACACCCAGATACATAACAAATGATTACTCGATAACTACTCTTAAACTAACAGAGGTAATGAACCGTGATGATTTTCCTTCTAAATCCGTTATACACACACTAACAAAAGTTAACACTTTAATAAACTTTAAAGTGTTAAGTTTTGTATGAATATTTCGAGAACGGACTCGTCTTGACGTCAATGAAACGTCTTTACAATTAATAGTGTTTACTCCGTCTACTATTAGTTGTAATGTTTTTGAAAGACCACTTTATGCGTGAAGGAGGTATCTATAAAGTCTTTTATCACTTTATCTATACTAATATTATAAAGCTGAAGAGTTTGTTTGTTTGTTTATTTGTTTGAACGCGCTAATCTCAAGAACTACTGGTCCGATTTGAAAAATTCTTTCAGTGTTAGATAGCCCATTTATCGAGGAAGGCTATAGGCTATATATCATCACGCTAAGACCAAAAGGAGCGGAGCACCAATGAAGAATGTTTCAAAAACGGAGAAAATTTATTACTATTGAGACACGCAGACGAAGTTGCGCGGGTCAGCTAGTATATTATATATAAACTTGCAAAATTACAGCTTTCTAATGTTAACAGTCTCTAAATTAAACGGTAGACTATAGCGGGTCCTAAGCGTTGTGTTGTCCTTGGAAAACAAAAAAGATCAAAAGAAGTAAAAAGAAAATATTTAGGGGCGCGACTATCGAGTTCTATTGAATTTCCTAGTTTCAACAATTTTAAGTGTAGGTCCGTGTGGTGACGGATTAAGAATACGGAGTGTCACCACCCATATTCATCCCGTGGGTGTCGTAAGAGCCGACTAAGGGAGCAAACTACGCAGGACAACAGCACTCCAAAGAGAAGGAAAACTTGAAACAAACCCTATACCAACCCGTCTGGCCAGCGTGGTACAGTAGGCCTAAACCTCCTTTCTAAGGAGAGGCTTTTGTCCAGCAGTGGACTATTAAAGGCTGTTGATGATATATACTGGTATACTTTCAATTTGACCCAATTGAATTTTTGAATTGAATTCCATTCTAAGGAGAGGTCTATATCCAGTACAAGCATACACGAATTATCGTTCGAACACCTCTGCTTGCTCCCTTTTAAATAAACAAGCTTGATTCTATGGATATATAAATTCGTTTTGTCGATTTCCAATTCCTTTTTTACTCCTTCAATATCGCTTAAAGCGTCATTTATCAATCTGTGTTAAACATTGATTCAAGGTCAAACATTGATTAAAAAGCTCCAACAAACAATCACTTAAGTAAAACTTGGCGCTCAATAATCTTACTTAAGATCCGCTCCCCCACAGTTCAGATAAAGTCAGCCGATGAGTCACCACCAGACAGGGGCTGTACATGTCTCAAGGCACACATCGTCGCTGTCTGGCATAAAATATTATCAACTGTATGTCTTAGCAATCATTTTGTCTGTCATGGTTCTTTTTTTAATTTAGACTTCTGAAATCAGTCGCTTTAGTGTAAGTGTAAAAGTTGTGTTTAAAGTCAGAGAAGTTCTTTTTTGAAAAAGGTAGAAATCTTTTGAATCCAGTTTTATTTAATCGTTATAGTTATTTCGTACCGATACATTTTTTTGAATTTATTATAGCATTCGGTAGATTATTTTTTTCAAAAAATAACAACTTTTATAATTTAATGTATATGATTCTTAGATTAAACAATATTCTGATGTGAGTTTTACAGAATATAAGTTTATTTAACAATTGTTCGGTTATAAATGTGTACCAACTTAAATGCTTTAAGAGAGCTCCTGTGCGACGAAACCAATTAGAAATACCGACGAAGCCCGAGTGCAATTATTTAATTAGCTGTATAAACAAGCATTTGTTGGTGCTGAAAGCCTTTTATTGTGATTGAATGTATATACCAATTATTTCTACATTCTATGCTGATATTGACCATATTAGCTGTGGAGTTATTATTGGACTTTATTGAGCAATGTTAATTGGGTTTTTACTAGTTTTTATTAGCTTCACCTGTATGTTGGTTTGTAACCGACTCCTTTGGGCGTAATTTTGACTGACTTTAAACTGTCAGAATTCGTTCAAACTTTGTAGATATATCGAGGACCGATGACAATACACTAATTTAAAAAAAAAATAGTTTAAAAAACTAAAAAGCACGCTTTTTATAGAAAACCGAACTAAAAAATAGTAAATAAATTTTAATAAATTATTTTCTATTTTTTAGTGCCCCAAAAGCGTGAGGTGCTTTTTACTATTGACAACAGGCACTCGACCCTTTTTTTTTTAAATTTATTAAAATTTATTTTCTATTTTTTAGTTTGGTTTTCTATAAAAAGCGTATTCTTTAGTTTTTTTTAACTATTATTATTTTCAATTGACGATTTCGACTATATCCTGTCAAACGGTCAAAAAAGCTTCAAAATAGTACCAATTGTAATATGGACTAAATTATTTACGAGGGATCTCTCGTTAACAGTTACATTATGATGCCATTACCGTGACCCTTCCATGGACGGATCAGAAATAATTATACCTTTGTTTAAATATTCGACATTGTTACAGCGTATCAGATGACAACAGCGGACGCTGGGCGCTCCGCAACGTTGAACGTGGCTACTACCTTGGTTCCAGCGCCGACAAACTGGCCTGCACTGCTAAAACCCTCAGCGACGCTGAATTGTGGCATGTACATCTCGCTGCCAGGCCCCAGGTGAGAACAGTCTCTTCACCAATAAATATTACGTAAATTAAAAGTGAACTTGTCAAATTCTATGCAGGTGTAGGTGAGCGAGGTACAGCTGTGATCTGTCTGACCATTGAAGCGATGATTATTTTTGTGTTTCTCTTCTTTTTTCTCATACACCACGCTTAGCTGCATAGTACTCCATAATTGATGCTCTACTGGAATATGCAACGCTGGAACAATGACCGTGAGGGTAGTTTTCTCTAAAACTATCAGAGATGTTTTTATGTTATTTATTTATCAAGCCATATTTACAGAATGAACACAAACATTCATAAACATAATTGTTTCAAGTTCACGTGCTAAACTAATTACAAATATGCAAATCATTTACATACAGACAACATAATAATTTAAAAAAGCAACCTTACTTTATAGCCACAACTAAAACTTAACTAAAAACTTATGCACTTTACGAGATTATATTAATAGTGAAATTGTACCAAATTTAACAAAATTAAAAACCATAAAAATCAAGTAATAAAATATAATAAAAAACTGGTCAGAGATATCGATAAACCCACTTGTGTGTTAGTAGGTCTAATTTACACTAATAGTTTCCAGTTACACACTAGTCGATATTATACAGAAGTACATGCCTTCTACTTCAAATTGTTGCCAGAAATGTATATTAAGAGTAAATAGTGTCATTCATATAACAATAGATGCAATCGATATCCCGTCAAGCATTGATATGCAGAAAAAAAATGTTGGAGACAAAAAGGAGCCTTGTGGGACCCTGACGTATATATCAAGGAAAACCAAGCAGTTATCGTCTACCACGATATTTATCATTCTATTTTACAAAACGCATGCCACGCATTTGAATGACTACTAGAGTAGAACGAAAGATTTTGCTTCCGATAGGAAATTTACGTGGCTCTTTTGCTCAAAGGCTTTTGCCAAATCTAAACTGACGACTAGTGAATCTTTTTGACTTTTAAAAGCCTTTAAGGTGAATTGTGTATGAGACAGACAAAGATATTACCATTTGAGGACTAACATAGGTATGACCATGAGGTTTGCAGCTGTTTTTTTTAAAATCATGTATACCATAGATTTCTTAATGAGATGATGAGAGATATTTTGTTATATGGTTGGTGGATACAGATGTTAATTATATGTACCGCCGATAGGCGTACAAAATATTGGGTACATTTTTAAATCTTCTAAAGTACATAATTATTCAAATAAAGGATCATTTTTTTACTTAAACAAAGTAATCAATCCATATAAGTATATATAATTTAAAGCCATCAAAAAGTTTAGGTCAAATTAAATAATAATAAAAGATAATTGAAAGTTATTGGAAACAAAATTCAATTTGATGTCAATAGTATTATCCGTGTGGTGACGGATTAAGAATACAGAGTATCACCACCTCTATTCATTACGAGGGTGTCGTAAGAGCCGACTAAGGGAGTAAACTACGCAGAACAACCACACTGCAAAGAGAAGGAAAACTTGAAACGAACCCTATATCAACCTGTCTGGCCATAGTATAGTAGTATATATAGGTATAGTAGGCCAACACCTCCTTTCTGAGGAGAGGCCTATGTCCAGCAGTGGACTAGTAAAGGCTGTTGATGATAGTATGAAGTATGGTCATTGATATATTCATTCATGGAATAATATGATTTGTTATTCAAAAAGTCAAAAAGTTTACATTTAAATTCATTAATATTTGTGCTCAATACAATTTTGTTTGGCAATCTATTACATAATTAGAGTGCCATTGCATATATACTTTTGTTGGCGAAGTAAGTTTTTGTAGGCAGCAAATGCAACTTATTTAAGCGACGTCAACTTTACACAGTGATAAATAAATCAAAGTTCAGTCTAACAAAATAACGACCTTAAGTAAAGTGATGATACAGTCAAAACTTATAAACTGCAAAAAGGGCGTAAAATGCGTGACTTCCCATAACTTTATAACATTTTTATGATAGCTTTGTGTATCTATTTGATCGAAGCTTTGTGTATCTATTTGATCGAAGCTTATATTCATATTGAAGAGGGTTTATTACTTTATAGCTCTCTGTGTATTAGCTATTTGTGGTACATGGTCGTCGATGACATCACCATGATATTTAACTGCACATAATATTGTAAACAGAACAGTTACATAGCGAACGACATCTAAAACAGCATCTCTAAGATCCGTAATCTTCATAATAACTGTAAAATAACGTTAACTGGGAGAAATGTATTTAAATTGATTTCGTGGTGTATCGAAGCAATCGACTCACTGTACGGTACTTGAAAATGTAGGGTAATCTAGACTCAAGCCTTCTTACGCCGTGAATGTCGGATTAATCTTTACTTAAGTATTTTTAACTGTAAAAGTGTCTTCAGAAATGAAAGCTCATTGTGTGGGTTTACTAAAGTGTTATTAACCGTTTGTTATTTATTTATCACACAACTATTTGACGTGTGCTCGATTTCCATACAGGACGAAAAATCATTTATTCGTAGCTGAGCGTAATTTATGTTTAATATGTATGTATTTAGTTAAATAAAAGTATATAACCTTGTCTGATCAACTCTGTCTTATCACAGATTTTGTATAAAAAAGGTGAATTAAAGCATCGCCAAGAAAAAACTAAGAGTTTCACAAAATATTGTCGAAGAATCTTGAATTTATCTATCCGTGTGGTGACGGATTAAGAATACAGAGTGTCACCACCCCTATTCATCCCGTGGGTGTCGTAAGAACCAACTAAGGGGAAAAACTACGCAGAACAAGAGCACTGCAGAGAGAAGGAAAACTTGATACAAATCCTATACCAAACCGTCTGGCCAGCGTGGTATAGTAGGCCAAAACCTCCTTTCTAAGGAGAGGCTTATGTCCAGCAGTGGACTGTTAAAGGCTGTTGATGTGAATCATGAATTTTGGCAACTCAGAAACTTGTTACTTGTTTCATAATAGGCGAAGACGTATCGCCAGGTGGGCCTGTACTTAACAAGTCAGGGTCGTGATTAAGAATTCTGTCAACGAATCACTATTGTCTCTATAGATCCTTTAGGACACAAGACTAAACCTAATCTTTTTCCCCCAGGTTAACCTCAGGTCCATCGGCCGCAAGCGTTTCGCGCATCTGTCTGAATCACTGGACGAGATCCACGTGGACGCCAACGTGCCCTGGGGTGAAGACACCCTGTTCACCTTGGAGTTCAGAGTTGATGAAGGCGGAAAGTACGCGCTCCACACTTGCAATAATAAATACTTGAGCGCTGGTGGAAAGGTGAGTAAATTGTTGCTTCATTTTTTTATGGTATAAGGGGGCAAACGACTAGACCGGTCACCTGATGGTAAGCAACTACCGCCGCCCATGGACCAACTCAAAAATCACAAGTGCGTTGCTGCCCTTGGAGTCCCTCCCGCTCGAGTCAGCGGGAGAGGGGATTTGGGCGCCGGTAACCTCACTCATTCAGTGAAACGCTACGAAATAATTGCTTAACACCGGTTTTCTGGGAGCCGGCCCATTCGTGCGGAAGCATGGCTTTCCCACGGTCATTTGATATTGGTAGTCAGTAACAACCTGTGATGTTAGAATGCAGAAAAAGGAAAAAAAAAACAAATAATATAGCACTCATAAACAATTATATAAACTGCACTGCAAACTTTTTAAATGTATATGTATACGAACTAAAAAAAGGTAACAAATACCTATTCGGTTAAAAAAAAATCGTACGTAAATAGGTTGACTAAACGTATATAGGTTTTGCAGGAAGGCGTAGTGGTTTGTGTAACGGACTGCTACGCAAAAAGTCGCGGGTTCAACTCCCGCTCAAGTCTAACATTTGTGTTGACTCAAACACATTTAATGTTTGATTTGGTGTGGGCTGTTTCTATGTAAAATATGTATACTATGGAAGTATATTTTTTAAACAGACATACTCTTACATATATTTTATATTGTTTTTTTTTTTCGACAAATTATTGTTGGACTGGAAAATATATAAGTTGTTCATAAAGCGAATACCAATTCCATATTTGTAGAAATTACCTTCTTCGGGGCGAACTGGCGCCGTGGGCACAACAATTGCCGACTCGTATAAATGAGAATACAATTGAAATACAAATGAATTGATATGTAAGACAAGGCGAGCACTCGACACTTAAGTATACAATGTCGTACAACTTCCCGCCAAATGTGCGGCAGGGTTGCCACATTTAAAAACAACAGATTTTATATTAATGACTTCACGGATGGCGTAGTGGTTTAAGCGGTCGCCACGCCGCTCACTACTATGCTGAGTGCTGTGGGTCCGATCCCCACACGGGACGACACTTTGTGTGATCCACAAATTGTTGTTCTGAGTCTGGGTGTTCTTTGTGTCCGTTTCATGTATGTTTATAAAGGCCCCGCGACACAGGATATTTTCCTAATGCGGGAGTTGTCTTGATTTTTTTATTTAAATATTTTCCTAATGCCTTAAATTTCTGCCGTTGTCTTAAATTTCATTTTCATAAAAAAAGTAAATTACCTATAAAAAAGTAAAAATAGTACTTATTCCTTTAGACACTTCATGATGATGATGAAACCCCTACTCTTCTTGGTTCTGGGTACGGGACTCAAAGGGCGGTAAAGGAATTGTGACCCTTGAGCTACAAGTGTCCATGGGCGGCGATAGACCCTTACAATAATTTGACCCGTCTCCTCGTTCGCCTCCTTATGCCCTACAAAAAAAGAAATTCGTAAGTGCACTTTGTTCTTCGTCAGCAATTCGTACATAGTAAGATATCATTAACGGGATATTTACCATGTTTATTTTCGGTAATTAGTTTGCGATAGTGTGGCACTGTTAAAAGAAGAAAGAAAACAATTTATTCGTGAACATACACTCACAATATAAGGGAAACTTAATACAAGGCTTAAACGAAAATACATTTTTACCTGTAGGTACCTCACGTGCAAGTCCAATAGGACCTGGTTCAGCGTCTGCTTGATAGATGTCTGCTGGTTTCAACCAGACCTTTTAATGAGTGAAGTTGAAAGCAGAAGATCACGGATGGACTGCTTCTGGAATTTTTTCTCGTTTATAATAACTTACCAAGTGAAAATGAACAGGTTTAGTTTAAAGCAATATGTCGTATATTACAATAAAATAAGTTTATATACACATTTAATTTACACTATTTTGCGCTTAATGGAAAAGTGTCTTAAAAACACACCTTAGAACCTTTCAACTGAAAACCAACACTTCGATAAGCAGAATGCAGGGCAGAATTAAAGCAGCCATTTGTAAAAAAAAAACAAGATAAACAACTAGTTCCTTTCGCGACAGCCCTGCCTTCCACCCAGTTCACAAGTTAGTTTTGCAAACAATAGTGGTGGAGGCCGTTTCCCATCGACTCCACATACCAATACCACGCCGCGTACATCGCCACCCAAACGTGGGAATGCACTGTCGATATTGGAATCACGATGCGTGGGACCAACAATACTCCTCCTGTGGATATAATTACAAAATGTATTGTGACAGTCACTTTGTCCGTGGGCCTCAGTAGTAAACACGGTTATACCTGACAGCAACGCTATGTAAATTACCATAAATCTATATTAATATTTAAAGGGTAAAGAGATTGTTTGGTTGAAGTACTGATCTCGGGAACTAGACATGGAAATTATTGCTAGTTTTAAATCATATCCATTTGATGAAATGATTAGTTTTAGTCACAGCGATTTCACATATGATTGTGATTTCGTCATAGACAAAGATAATGGTATTAAAATCAGTCAAAATTCTTTTTATCAAAGATTACGACTTTATTTGAGATTTAATCCTTTCGCGAGTCCGTAATAATAATAATTAAGTAGCAGTGGTTTTGCAAATCATATTTGTGATGATATGATCTGTAAATCATATTTTTCACATGTGATTGTGATTTTTTTCGATCCCTTTCAGGAACCACTGGTTCGAATAAGAATTAAAAAAATATTTTAGTACCATCTTTTGCCCGCGCTCCGCCCGCGTGTATTTCGATTATCGCGGTAAAAAGTAGCCTATGTCCTTTCTCAAAAATTAAACTATATCCATACCAAATTTTATTTAAATCGGTACAGCGGTTTTTGATTTCCCAAACAAACTTCCACCCCAATTTTCACCCAGTTAAAGAATGATTTCTGAGATAAAAACTATCCTATGTCATTTCCCGGGACTCGAACTATCTCTTTACCAAATTTCATCTCAATCGGTTTAAGCGTGAAGAGGTAACATACAGACAGACACACTTTCGCATTTATAATATTAGTGTGGAATGGATAGGCCATTTATCGAGGAAGCCTATAGGCCTATAAAAACTGTAAGGAAAGAACAGTACCCAACTTTTTGATGGCATAGGATGGCAAACGAGCAGACGGGTCACCTGATCGTAAGTGACAACTGCCGCTCTGCTCTCAAGAGTCACAAGTGACCCCCCCCCCCCCCCCCCCTCCCCAGAATCACCTATAAGTTAGGAAAAAAGCCATGTCTGTCATTCATTTCGTCTCTTACTGTCAAGTTCATAGTGTCTTGCCTCCAGCAACAATGATCACATAACGAAGAACAAAGGCATGCTAGCTTAGCCATATGCAAGATCTCAGCCCAAATTATATTCTAGTATATTTTCCCCCACAGCTCCAGGAAGAGTGCACATCAACGTGCCTCTTTAGCGCGGAATACCACGCGGGCGCGTTGGCTCTCCGCGACGGCTCTGGTGCGTACCTCGCACCCATCGGCTCCAAGGCGGTGCTGAAGACACGCTCCACAGCTGTTACGAGGGATGAGCTGTTCTCGCTGGAGGACAGTCTACCACAGGCTGCATTTGTGGCTGCACTCAACGACAAATACGTGTCGGTTAAACAAGGTGAGTTTGCTTACAGGACAATATTTTACAAACATCACAGGTCTGTTGGTCTAGTGAATAATGACCCTGCTGATAAGCTAGAGGCCATGGGTTCGAATCCCACCCAGGACAAATAATGACTGCACAGATGGCGTAATAGTTTAAGCGGTCGCCACGCCGCTTATTACTACGCTGAGTGTTGTGGGTCATATCCCCATGGGACGACACTTTGTGTGATCCACAATATTTATAAAGTCCCCTGCGACACAGGATATATTCCTAATGCGGGAGCTGTCTATAAAAAAAAAAATGTTTTGTTTCTGGGTGTACTTTAAATCGTGTGTGAGCCGTTTAAAGTTTATAGTATACTATATTTTGTATCACAGAGTAATATTTAGTACTAAACATTGAGGTAAATAAAACACTATTTAGTTTAAACTTTTTGTCAATGATATGTTTATTTTTTATTTTATTTTTTCCGTGCGGAAATCCCCTCTGATACCACCTGTCGGTGGCATGTCGGACTCGAACCGACTAAAACCGCACGCCGTCTCGGGTACTAATAGCCGGGGAACCAGGTATACCCTAGAAAGGAAGTCGACGTATTTACCCTAGGCCCAAGGGAACATGTCGTAGAATAGTGTTCGGATCTTACATTTATTGAACTTTACAGGGCAACAATTTCAAATAAATATGCTAGTTTCTTTGACATAACTTTTTTAATTCTAAATCTGTAATTATAAAAATTGACATTGACAAATAGGGTTTGTTTTAAAATGCAATGAAAATAACAATAAATAATTTCCTAGAAAAATGCAATGCTTCATTTTACTTTGAGCGCGTATCAAATCGGTCAGGTTACCGACGGAATCATTTAAAATCTAAAATACATATATTTTTTCTTGAATTTAGTAATAATATTAAGACAATGTAGTAAATAAAATAAGGTAAAAGCTGAATTTCGTTTTTTTTTTTCAAAACCGACATAATTCTACGATCATAACGATGTGTCCGAGGCTGCAGGTTGCTTGAATAAAGGCGTGAGTTCGTGTATACACTTCATTGTCAGCAAAAAAGCCATATCCGAGTTATGAAACTTATAAAGTGTTCAATCATCTCGGCATAAATACGATGTATGTACAATAAGGGTCAACAATCTGTGCGTATCGGCAACACAATGGTGAATTCTCGGAACTGCACGCCATTTAATAGGCACACACTTTGTTAAAACACAGCATCTCTGCTCTTATGAAATGACAAGGTTATGTGGCTGGAAAAATCTTTGTGGTAACCAGACTGCTGATAAACATACATGTGGCAATTGCTGAACAAAGGCCTACATAAAACATGTAAGTGTATTAGCAGAGACGGATTACCTGATATTACTGGTCACGGATTTCTTCCAGAATTATGTGTTGCCGCCTTTTGAATCCCACAAGAATCGGGCGAGGTATGTAACCTCACTAACTCTGCAAAAATAAAAAAGTTCTTTAATTGCTGGACACCGGTTTTCTGTGAGGCCGTGGTACTCTGGTCGCGCATGCCCGTGTGTACCTCTCACTAAATTTCATGGCTCTCCCACAAAAAGTCCTACGATGTTACATTTAATGATTAAGGCGGAATAAATATTATTTATACTAGCTGAGACCCGCGGTGTTACCCGCGTTTGTTGTTATAACCGCGGGCAACGCCGCGGGGCGAAGCTAGTCTAAAAAAAGTAGCCTCAGTTACTCCTTATGTCATCAGCTATCTGCCAGTGAAAGTCCCGTCGAAATCGGTCCAGCCGTTCCAGAGATTACCCGAACAAACAGACAGACAGACAGACAAAAATTGTAAAAAATGTTATTTTGGCATATGTACCGTGTAAACATACATATGCATTTAGTAAAAAGCGGTTATTTTAATATTACAAACAGACACTCCAATTTTATTTATTTGTATAGATAAAACATAAGAATCTACCCTATTTGGAAGCAAATACAAAAAGATTCATACAAATTCGATTACTATCACTAGTTGTATAGAAGTATTGTTACTTCTAAACGAATGCTGAAGTTTGTTATTTCTTTAAACCAAGTTGTATTCAAATGATTCCTTTTTTTTAGAAATCATTTAAAAGAAGAGAAATATTTATATTTGACACAGGCATTTCCTTCAAAACTATTAAGACATGGGCATAAAATTATATATATGTATGTAATTACAGTTGCAATTCTAGTGGAGGTAATGAGGAAGTAAAACTCCCGTTCAGTCGTTAGCATGTACCAGGCGAGCAGGACCGTTCGAGAGCACAGCCTAACGGCCATCAATTATCTCACGGCTTTATATTAGACTAAGGGAACATATCCATCTCCCTCTAACTCCACAACCCCATGGGAAAATCGCCTACATCTTAAATTAATGGACTGTATTCTCCATCCCTTAATTTTCCGGTGGTATTTATTCCTTCAAATTTGTACCACCACACGTAAAGTTACCCCTTCCGAAAAAATAACATCAACAGCCTTTAGTAGTCCACTGCTGGACATACGCCTCTGCTTAGAAAGGAGGCTACGCTGACCAGACGGGTTTTTATAGGGTTTATGTCAAGTTTTCCTTCTCTTTGCAGTGCTGTTGTCGTAGTCGACTCTTACGACACCCACGGGATAAATAAGGGTGTTGACACGCCATATTCTTAACCCGCCATCACGTGGAGGAGCACAACATGCATAAATTAGAAATATGTACTCCTTTGCTGGGAGCTGTGTATTATGCAACGACACGACTCGTTACTTCAAGTTCTGCCTGCTACTGGTAGTGTTATTATTAAATGTAAGACTAACAATTTGCCGCAGTTTTATCTATGTTTATGGTTCTTCAATATAATACTCTATTAAATACGAAAATAATTATTCAAATCTATCGAATATATTAATTTTCCGTGTAGTGACGGATTAAGAATACGGAATGTCACTACCCCAATTCATACCCGTGGGTGTCGTAAGAGTCGACTAAGGGCGCAAAACAACGCAGGACACCAGCACTGCAAAAAGAAGGAAAACTGGACACAAACCCTATACCGATCCGTCTAGCCAGCGTGGTATAGTAGGCCAAAACCTCCTTTCTAAGGAAAGGCCTATGTCCAGCAGTGGACTATTAAAGGCTGGATATTAAAGGATGATCGAATAGTTTTGGAGATTTGTGATTTTAAATTAACAAAGGAACAAAAAGCTGTTCAATTTAATTAGTTTATATGAAACCAGATGCTAAATGTTTTCACGGAAAACGCAAGTGAAAAAAAAATACAGACGAATTGATAACTTCTTCTTTTGTGTTTTGGAGTCGGTTAATAAATTGCCGTGTTCGTGTGTAATGGTAAGTGATCATGACTGCTGGGCCAGAGGTCGTGGTTTCGATTCCCATCCAGGACAAATAATTGTATGATGAGCACGATCATTTGTTCTGTGTCTGGGTGTAATTAATCTACAATATGTATGTATTTAGAAATATATAAGTATGTTTATCAGCAGTCTGGTTACCATGGCACAGTCTCTGCCTGGTTTGGGACCAGACTGCTGATAAACATACGTATATATTCATAAATACATACAAACTATAGATGAATTACAGCCAGACACAGAATAACTTGCCGTGCTCATCATTTATGTGCCTATAATAGGTATGTTGTATGTTTATCAGTAGTCTGGTTACCAGAGTACAGGCTCTGCCTGGTTCGGGATCAGACGGCCATGTAGGGTATCCCAAATATAAATATATATATTCTTTCTTTCTTTTTATTATTTAAAAAAAAAATACAACTCCCGCATTAGGAATAAATCCTGTGTCGCTTGAGAACTCCGCTCAAGTCCGTTGGTGTAGTTTGATTATTAAACAATATATGCTAGAAATAATAATGAAGATATTAAGAGAAAAGTTGGTCCATTATGAATTCCACGTATGCATTCCTCATCTCCTGTCGCCACACGTGGAGTTATTTCTCATTCCGAGGGACTGAGCTGGACTGGACATACCACGGCACTCTCTAGAATGTGAAAAATATGGCATTCGTTACATCACTACCATTATTTAAGAAGAGGTCATAGTACCGGGAAATAATTTTACGGATATGACTTTCTGAACCAAGCCTCTTATCATTATTTTCCAAATTCTATTTGGTTTTGGTGCATTAGGTTTTTTTTAAGTCATAGGGGGCAAACGAGTGGTTCGTGGGTAAGTGGTCACCGAGTAGATTAGAACATTGCAAAGTTAAGCAATCCTAGCCAGGTCAGTCTATGGATGGGTGACCATTCTTAACACATTAAGACCTCTTCGTTTTCGGGATAAGGAAAACAGGGCGAGCCTGTATTATAGTAACCACACAACTGATAAATACTTATACTAAATACATACATATTATACTCGTAAATATAAACTACACTCAGACAGCAAATAACCGTATTCATCATACAATTATTTGTCCTGGGTTGGCATCAAACCCAGGACCGATGGTTTAGCAATCAAAATTTCTAACAACTAGACCGATAGGCCCGTCAGCAAACCATCAAAACTAATATCACATCAACAAAATATAATTGAAGAAATTTGTACCGTATGCATTAATTAAACGCATACAGGCTAAATAACGGTTAACGTTTTTTCCGTTAATATGTAATTAATTGAAATACTGCAAATAAAATTTAATCTGTATATTATAACTATAAAAATAAATAATGAATCCACGCTTCAGATATCATAACCTGAAAAAAAAAACATTTTATAATATACCTGTTCTTATTTTAAAACCAGAGCATTCTTTTCACAGGTTTAAAGTAACAGGTTTATTAGGTAGCGGCTAGTGATGAGACAGATGGTCAGCAAGCATCACGCGTTACTAATTGAGTGCACATTTAAATTTCAAATCTAATATGGTTAGGTGCAAAGACCGTATAAGACGGTAATACAATGCAAACTAATAACATAAATATTAATTAACGAACAAATTATCAACTTGCAAATTAACTGTATTATATATTATTTTTTAT